CAGCAGCCACCCACCACAACAGCGTTGGGGTCATTGCAGCAGCGAGTCGCAAAAGGGTAGGGAGCGAAAAATTAGGGTTTGAGTTTTTCTATATCACCTGATTTTTGAAGAATTAAATTTGGTCCCCAATTTTTGAATTTGAAACTTTAAACACCTGGAATTGTGTAATTTCCTCTATATTTCTCACTACATCACACAAACATAGATTTGCTTCCATTTTCAAAAAGCTTAAGAAAACTAAATTCATATAGTTGAAATTATAAAATTTACTTACATTTTTTCTAATATGTCCATACCTTGAATAATGGTAGTTCATATTTATTGATAACAAGGTACATTAAATAAGGACGTATTGAAAAATTAAGAAATTAACTATACTCTCAATATCAAAAGTGACTTATAATTGGAAAAAAATGAAATAGGAAAAAAATATGAGATGAAAGGAATATAAAGAAACAAATTTTCAAATTTAAATTTTATTTTCAAGAATATATTATTTGTTATTCCCAGGAATTAGAAGGCAGTGGGAACAAATTCTTATCCAATATATTAATTTGTGAATAGTACGGGTACATTAACAGTATATGTATGTGTCATGTTACAAAAGATAATTCTTGGGACTTTTAATCAGACAAAAAGGTGATATCCTTTACACGTTGTCTACCCACAGACGCACCACATGCTGTTCACTCCATTAAGAATGAAAAGAGAATTTAGCATCATTAAATATTCTAATACTCTAATCATTTCACTTGAGCTATATGATTCCTCACGTGAGAATTGCACGTGCAAAATCGGTGTAAAAACACCCGCAGCCCCACCTCCCAAGCGATGCATAAGTAGATGATCAGTGAGACCTCTCTCTCTTCGATCATCCATTGCCCAGAACAAAATTTTCGCTTACAAATTCCCCAAAAAAAATAAATAAATTGCATTCAGGCTATAAAATTTCTAGTGGTTTTGCCTAACCTAATGAGTAGAAATTATCCTCACGGGCTTTTAAGTACATTGCAACATTTATAAGTGTGTCAAGAATATAGTCCAAATCATCATTTCCAAGTCATTACTAGCTACCTAAGCAGTGACCCAATAACAGCCGAAAAATAAATCTAGATGTACATTCTTGTTGACATTAAGGATGACATTCCTCCCTATGTGTCAAATTCTGGCCAGCGATGTGAAAGGGTGTTATAAAAATCAATGGCTATGATGGATGCTATGTCAAAAGATGTCAACCTTAATGTAAAAAATTAACGTACATGTAGCATGTTTCCCAACCAAATTGAAGGGGAGGTAAGGTATGGCAACTATAATTCATGCTATCTAGAATGCATCATGGTATAGAAGTCAAACATAAAGAGTTTGGCTCTAAATCCTGGTTTTTATGTCGCTAGGCCAAAAGGAAAATAATACTTTCAAGTTGAAGGGCACGAGGTTTGATCGATCATGAAAATGTAATATGAACTATTAGCACCTGTAGTAGCCTCAAAAATGAAACTAGGAGCCAACCTATGCTTCAATTCCTACATCATAAACATGTTGGCACCCATAGCCCTTCAACAAGAAATGGAGAAATAGAATCAACATAAAGTGGGAGATGAGAGGCATTTATATTTCTCTTCATGTCTCTATTTCAAAATTAAAATATATAACCAAACTTATCCAATTCGACTTACATGTAGTACATGGAAATCTCCAAAATATCATCTTTAAGAAGCCTCTGGTGGTTGAGATGCTCTTGCCTTTGCAAGCTGTGTTTGTCAGTGTCCTCAATGTTAAGCAGTCACTGTCCATACAAAGCAGACCTGATATGGAAAAAGAGTAAATAAGTTCTTTTTTTTTCGTAAGATGGCAAAAAATGAGAAGTTGCTAGAGTTTGCATGTTATACAACTCCTCATATGGTGAAAACTTTAATAATGAATCATATATCTTTACATACTGGCAATGCATAGAGAGAAACAATTGATGCTTTGCCTTTTAGAGTGCTGAAAAGTAGCTTATACATTCCAGCAGCAGTCGCATCTCCAACCCTTTGAACAATTACATCTATGCATACCTGTGGAATAATTAATGTTTATTGTCAAAACATTACATATAACATGCTAACACTTGTCTATTTGGTGCATGAAAAACTATATAAAACATTAAAATGGAATTAATCTATTTATTCCGGTTTCTCCATTGAACTGAAAGAAACAATTAGCAATTTTATGGGCTCTCTTTTCAACTGAGTGTGATACTCCTCAGCCTTATATTTTTCATTTTATTTTGGAAATTATGACACTCCCTGATGCATATATAAACGATCTTTTGGCACCGTGCATATTATTATCTAGATAAAAATCAATACCATGAAAATAGAAGAATGGATTTACATTTTCACATCTTTGCTTTATACTTCTCATCTTGTGTAACAACAGTGAAAAGGAGCTCCCTTCCAGGCCTGGTAACAACATATGTAACCATCTGAAGAAAAAAGGTTAGAAATATTATCACATTTGTAAACAATGATCTTTCTCTGTACATTCTAACTTGTTAAGTAAACAACAAAAGCATAGGAAGGTCTATAATGAAAGAAGTTGCACCTAATTGCTGGAAGACACGGGGGCAAAAGTAAAGGTTTTATTACCAGGCAAAACATACCTTCCATAAGGTTTCAGAGATGGCAACTGCAATCCATGATGGCCACACAGCTAAAGCAATCAGATTTATGAAGGCAACAATCGGTGCACAGCAAATCGCTATAGTAACCCCAGCAACAATAAGGATGCGCCCCTGTGAGAAAAGTAAAGAAACTCGAAATATGATAAATAGCGTGTACTTTATGAAGAAAGAATCCATACATATAAAAAACCTACAAGTAACACAGGACAAATGAAGAAATGAGCAAGAGTTTAATTTGTAGTAGTGCGTAGTGTGTACTTGAAGAGAAGTTATGGAAGACTGAATGTTTGTCTTGAATGATTTATCTTATAGGACTGAGAGATCCAACGAAACCAGCCTAAGGAGTAAAGGAGCTCCCGGGTTTGTGGCCGTATGATAAAGAACAAAGGAGGAGGGCTTCGAGCAATACGTATTTGGAGGACATATGAAGCCAATTTGTGGTGATTACAGAAGATTCACTATTCTACAAGAGATTAAAATTCATTTGAAAGTTCTATATCTAATCATTGAGAGTACAGGAATAGAACACACAGGAGACCTCTGCGCAACTCCACACACTTAATCTAAACTTACTACATTGAAAATCTAAATTCTGAAACTATCCCATACCGTCAATGTAAGCTGCCCAGCAAGAATAAAAACAGCAATAAAGCTATTGATCTATGCAAATAATCTTCTTCTGTCCATGGGGCTTATCACTGTGGCGGCAATCACAGTTACTTTCTGCAGTCACAAGACAAAGAAAGTAGCATTTTATTATTATCAAACCAATCATCAGTTGAAACAGCAAGGGAACCAACATATTCCAAACCCCAATCCCCAAACCAAAAAAAAAAAAAAAATCTTCCTCCAATAAAATTTTGAGGTAGGCTACATGAATCATGTACCTCTGATTCATTCACTTCATTGCTATCAACTTGAAGATCTGTTGCAACTAGATGCATAGCAACTACCACGTGCCATTACAATTAATCTCATGAAATATATTTTATTTAATTAGAATCATAAAGACAAATGACCACGTAAGGATATATTGAGTTATTGGATAAAGCGGGAGAGATAAAAAATAATTAGGAGTTTTTGGATAATAAATAAGAATTAAAGACTAAATCTGGTAAAAGTAAGAAAAACAGAAGCAAAATAAACATATGATCTGATACAAAAGACATGTGTCGTAATTTGAGTGGGTGGTCAGGGAAAAAGTAAGAGAGAAAATATTAAAAGTTAAATATGTCACAAATGATCACATGTCGTCATTTGAGTGGGAATGTATACCACGTAAGCATATATGACCATCCTACTAAAGCTTTTCTCCCTCTAAAGAGAAACATATAAATGAATCCAAAATAAAATATTTTTCTTTGGTTATAAACTTAGATCCTCCATATTAGAAGTTGAGGGTGGCTGTGGCGCAACATTAAGGTTGCTCCATTATGACCTATATATTGCGGGTTTGAGACTTTCAAAGAGCTTTCTATTGATGGAAGCGCCATCTTTTCTTACAAATATTTTTGAGTATATAGAAAAAGTACATTTGATCGCAGTAGGACCTGACACGGGGAAATAAGGAATAAGACCTGATGAGCGATAATTCTTCCTGAAAATATGAAATGTCCTTGTTGATTCCTTTAGAAAACTGTGAAGCAAATTCCATCAGGAGAGCAGCAATAAGGAGTAAATCTACAAGAACCAAATCTAAAAGTTACAAAAGACATAAAAAGACGTTAAAGGAAAACACGGGGTCATAGAGGCATTTAAGACAAACATACATGGACCTAACCAAGCCATTCCTGCAGCAAAGAGTGAACCACAGAGCTGTCCCAACGTAGCACCAGCACCAATAAACCCAAATAATCTTGAGCCTGACTGAATTCAAGAGAGTTAATTGTGCAAAAAATTGCATTTGATCCTGCAAATCTTGCAGTCAGATTCACGGATAAAGTAAACTATCCAGGTATGAAGACTGTGCATGTAATGACCAGGATAAACAGAGGTGACAATACTCAGAGCTTGTTTGGTACAAATTAAAATCAGATTTTAATCTAAATCAAAGTCAAACAATCAATATTAACCAAATTTTTTATAGATCTCACAACTTTTCAACACACATTTCAAAAACTTCTATCACAATCTACTAAAAATCTAATTTTAATCCCCACCAAACACCGCATCAGTCTTCCTCTATAATAGAGTATGATTTATTCTTAATTGAAATTATTAAATTGATGTGATAAATACTGCTAGATTAGATTATGGAAAACGGAGCCCAATTGCAACATACTGACCTCATTATCCATCACATCAATTACTCTGGCCCAAGTTGAAGAGATAGTTATTATAAGATTAAGAGCTGAGCAACCTGTGAAAAAAACACGCATGTTTTTTCTCAGAAGAAACATGATTTTTGTAAAAAATAATCAACAACCACAATTCATTATCAATTTTCATAGCAAAAAAAGTGAAGCAAAATAATTTTACCCAAAGGAATAACCCAATCCTCACTGAAATGAAAAACCATCCATGTTTTCCCGAGCCACCAGAATTTGCTGGAATAGTTTGGTTAACCATTATGTTCAGCTCCTCCTTTATAATGGAGTTCACAGGAAAGAATCCCTACATAGATTGAAGGTCAAACGTTATTCCTTGACACATATGCCACGGGCCCACGGTTAAAGAATGTGATTTTCTGTTTCAGATCCTGATCTTGAAACTGAAAAAGGAACTTCCAGGAGTGGAGGAAAGCCATAGAATAAAGAATACAACAAGAGAAATGCTAAAAAATCGATGAATCAAGACCAAAGCCTGGAACAGAAGTAGCAAATCAGAAATAATACTTACAAAGTTCATAATAAAACTGCCAGTACAATACTTTTGTCCAGAGAACAAAACAACACAAGAAGTTGGTCATGTAAAAAGGTAAGTGAATATTCATGTTACCAGCTGTACACAGAATCACACAAATTGAATTAACCACTATCCTTCGATACTCTGAATTTTATTGTAAATCTAGTAATGAGACATCCCCAACATTTTATTAGTTTCAATTCATAGAAAATAATATATTGCCTAAAGTCGTTCAGTTGGACATAGCAAATAACTCAACATTATCTATATGAACTTGAAAACAATGTTATCAGGATCAGTAGAGAGGTCGTGCTTTCATATTTGCCTCAAGGTTGACCAGCTCATAAGAGACTTTACAAAGAGCATTATGCAGCTGGAAATTAAATACTGAATCAAATTATAGCAAGAAGGTTTAGTTACTCGAAACAAGGAGGAACACCAATAAGCAATTTATCAACACAATGCAGAAGAGAGCACCCTTTTCGAATTGTAAATTGTTAAGACTATAAAAAGGTTTAAACCGTAGTTGTTTTAACTAATAAATAGAACTAGATAATATGATTTTCAAATGGGATAGAAAGACTATCGTGAAGGAAGTGATAAAAGACGTATGGTAAAGTGGAAGGAATAATGTACAAAGACATCATCAAGACACCACCCTGTAAAGAGTCAGTCACAATCCCAGGAAAACATCCATTATTAAAGGGTTTATAATAAACTATACATACGTTCAAAGACATCAATAAGATTTGGAAAATATTCCATATCATCCATTTCCACACAATTAGATTAAGAAAACAATCATTAATTAAAATCTCGAATTAAAATTGTGGAATCAATCGTTTGTCTTACTGAAATTCGCCATAATAGTGTTATTTCTGAATAATTGAGATTTGGGAAAAAAAAAAATTAATTCACACCTTTCCTTTAGAAAGATTAGGCAACGAAAAAATGAGAGTGGAAACTGGCGCAACAATCAGTGTGAGCAGCAACGATCCAACAAAAAGTCCAGGAAGAGTCCCTAATCCTAATGAAATTGCGCCTTCATCACGTAAAGGAAGTACCACAAAATATGCACTCAAAATCTGCAAACACAAAATTCATTCTACATTAATTACTCACGACATATGATTTCATATTCCATAAGTGGAAATCAAGAAATATTAGAACTTACGAAGAAGAAAGAGGAGGCGGAGTAGATGAGTGCGGAAATTTCGTTAGGATGGACTGTTACGAACCACGAAACGATAGTTTCAATGCGAGATTTAGAGATTGTCATTGTAGGGTGATTGAATTGAACGAATTATTTGAAAGCATGGATGAAATTTCAATTGAATTTGATTTGGTCGACTGAAGAATGAATCTTCAGTTTCAGTTGGAAGGGTCGAAGGGAGGGAGGGAGGAGAGGTATATTTACTCCATGGCCCTCAAACTTCTGTTTATTTGTAGAAATGGCTTGATAATTTTTTGGTTAAATTTCACTACGGGTCCCAACCTTTCGTTAGTGTGGCATCCATGTCTTCAATCTATCATTTATTATACTCATGTCCTCAACTTTTTTAAAACTGTGGCACCGATTTCCCAACAACTAGAAAATGTCTATTTAAATGTTAATGACATGTCACAATTGACACTCACATGATATGTCAACATTCGGTCGAAGGGATAAGTTCTATAACACTAAGAAATTTTATCCTTTGTGGATTTTTAAATGACTGTTGAAGTCAACATTTGCATCTTTTTAATAATAATAAAATATTTTTTGGTTAGTTTTATCCTTTTGAGTTCAACATCATGTGACTATTTAATGTTCAAATAACAATTTTACTATTCCGATCGTTACATCAGATGTCTCGGAATGTATTTTCTGGAGGGCCACATCAGATGGTAGATTTAATACTAAATTAGCACGGCGGCAGATCCACTCTAGTAGGTCCGTTCAAGATTCATTTCGTCTACTGTGGAGCCCTATCATACCTACCATTTCGTTTTTCTGTTGGAAACTATGGCAGGATTTTATACCAGTTGATGTCATGATCCAGAGGAGGATGACACTCATTTGACTTCTCGATGTCAATGTTTTTCGGAGATTGAGACCATCACTCATATTTTTACTTGTTTCAGATCATGTTTGGCAACATTTTGGGGCTTTATTTCAGATTACCATGAATACAGGAGAGAATGTCGATAGAGATTTCTGAAATAGAGGTATTCTCGACAGTTTGCAAAGACCGGACACATTCGCATCATTATTCCTCTATTGATTTTCTGGTTTCTTTGGACTGAGAGGAATAATGCAAAGCACATGAACATACGTATACGTTCGAGACGTATTGTTTGGAGAGTTTACCGTATGGCATCCTGCCTCCACATTGGTGGACTATTTCGACCGTTACATTTGCGTAAT